CCCCAAAACCCCAAAACCCCAAAACCCCAAAACCCCAAAACCCCAAAACCCCAAAACCCCTTTGAGAAATATATAAGTTGAAACTTTGTTGGCTATTCTCGAACTCTATCGTCATATGTTTTTTTGCAGTTTAGACAAGATTTTGCTTTACTTCCTTTGAATAGGATTGTGAATCTGGAGCACTTTCCACATAAGATTTTTCCACAGATTCGACAATGATGCTTCTTTGTGGTTATTCAGAATTGTGTGTCTCATTCTGATCAATTTATAGCTTCTTTTGAAGAAACAAGATCATTAAATTTTTGTAAAGTTAATGGAATCTTTTGGCTCACTGATTGTGACATTTGAAAAGTGTTGATATCCTCTATTTATTAAAAGAAAGCCTAACTTCATCTGTTCTGATTATTTATTGCCATATGCCTCTTTTTTAGATTAGATATATTCTCTTCACCTTCACCTTCCCCTTTTCCTGATATAGAAGACATTTCACCAGAACTTGAGATAGAGATCCTAAAGTAGTGGCTTCTTATATTATAATTTTTACGGTCACTTTTTATTCATCCAATCTTTGAGGTGTGTTTTTCAACTTTCCCTAGTTCTGTTTTGAAATCATCATTCCTTTTATGAGACTTTGTTCTAAACATAAAAAATTGATTAATAATTCTATCATCTTTTATAAAATAAATAGTTTAAGGGTCTGGTGAAAGGAGCTGTTTTAGAGTAAAATAATTCGCAAAGATTATTACACCTTTGTTGATTCTGACAATTCAGATATCTGTGGCTCTTTCTTTTCCAAATGGGCTTGAAGGTGTTTGTTTGTCTCAATAAGCCTATCAACCTTTTCCTTTAGAGTGCTATAGTTATCTTTAAATGTTTTAAGCCGCTTTGTTTGTGGCCTATCTTTATGGACTCGTTTTTTATTAAAAATGTTAGCAGTTTTTTGACTTTGAGTTGAATTCAGTTCCATATCCGTTTCAGTATTAGCAGAAGTTTCACTATTTCCTAATGCTTCATTATTTAAGGTAATGCAACCGTCGATTTTATGAATAAGGAGTTCTAATTTTTTATTATAAATTGCTAGCATTCTGGTATTTCTCATGTTGACATTTTCTTTCTCTTCCAGTTTTGAAGAAAGCATTTTGTTTTCTAAATACATTTGAGAATATTTCTCTTTTAATTTATTTTGTCTAGTTTTAAATATCAAGTTCAAGTCTTGAGAAAAGGTATCAATGATTGCTTTCTCTTTAAGCAAGCTATTGTTATCTATACTAGCAGTTAGACAAATCAAGATTTGAAAATAAAAACTAAGATGTTATGTACCTTGAGTGGTAATTAAACTATCTTTCTCTTGTGCACCAGTATTAATTTTCTTTCTGAAAATTTGAGAAAGTTTAGGCTGAACTTCTTTCCGGAGCATTAATCTTCTTTTAGCCAACGCCTTGGCCTGGATTTTAGTAAGAGTGCGTGCCTTTTTATGTCTAGACTTGTCTGCCTCTCGTATCTCCGAAGGTTTTATGAAGCTATTGTTAGAATTTCGAGAATAAACAGTTTGCATATTTTATTAATTTGCAAGCATTGGTGAATATTTCAATTAAAGTGGTCTTCAAAGGGGTTTTGGGGTTTTGGGGTTTTGGGGTTTTGGGG